CATAAATAGAAAAAGTAAAAAAGAAAATTATAGACAACCATTGAAGTGGCTGTATACAAGCTAAAATGTGTAATACATTTATTTAACATAATCATACAATTTTTGTGTGTATGTGAACTATCCAAGACAAAGAAAACATTTGACATAAGTCAAGCAAAACGTCTCATTCATTTTGATCAAGCCACAAGACAACAAGTAAGCAGATGAATATCAAAAGCATTGGATGGAAACCAATGCATCAGATGAAATCTCAAAGCACATATAAAATTTTAAGCATCAGATGAACGCTCAAGGTCTTAGATGAAAACAAAGCATGAGATAAATCACATGGCACATATGAATTCTCATGCATCAGATGAAAACTTCAAAGTCATAGATAATGGTCTCTTCATTAGATAAAACACACAAAAACAGACAGATAAACCCAAACTATCAAATGAATCTATCTGAAACTGCATATAATGCACACCATGGTTTAAAAGCAATGTGATCAAGACTAAATCGAGGATATGAGATCATTACATCGATCAAATCCTTCATGATACCTTGAGATAAACTTATTACTATTTCAAAGTATCTTGAGTGATCAATTGATCACTTAGAGTTAAATTTGAAATGATGAAAGTTCATCAAGCATCAATCCAAATCTAATTGAACAAGATGAATTCATCACCACCCAATTGATCAAAAAGAAAAAAGAAGAAATATGAAGAAGAAAAGAATCAACAACTTAAATTGAATCACAACTTGGGATCAAGTCATCATCAAGATCAATCGCCTCTATTGGTGGATTAAAGTGACAAACCTATTGTCAACTCAAAATATAAAAAATGATTCAATTAATCATTTAATAGTATATTTGAAATAACGAAGGTTCATTCTACTGCATCAATATCCAAAGCCCATTGGTATTGATGAGACTTATGATCTAAATATCAATGATCCAAAACACCGGAATATAACAAAATTAAAATGCAATTGAAATGCATGAGAAAGTATTTTTAAATTGATATATAAATAGAAATGAAAGAAAAAATAGAAAAAAAAATCTAAACATTAAATAAATTGGAAATAAAATCATAAAAAAATAGAAATTATTCAAATTATTTTTAGAATCTTTTTTAATATTTTTAAAATCAAAAACTAATTTTAAATAATTAAAATAAAGAAAATATGAGAAAAATCAAATAAAATAGTAAAAATAAAAATAAAAATTATGGAAAATTAAAATAAGGTGTGAAATAATAAAAGATATTTTTTAAAAATTTTAAAAAATTTTAAAAAATTTTCTAATTAGAATCTTCAAGGTAATTATAGTTATACTCTTCAAGGTACTATGTATAAACATTTCCTCCCTATTAATTATTAATTGATTTTATGTATCATAGTTATGCAATAATGATTGTTCACACAATGGTGGTTAGAGAAAAATATTTATCAAGGTGAAGGTTAATACCGAGTAATATGGGGTGAGTTTCAACAAAATTAAAATATTGTATTATATATGTGATAATTACTTATGTCATACGAATGGGAAAATAGGAATAACTCAACATGTTAATTAAATATAATAACCTTTCTTTCATTTCTTGTTTCAACTAGGTTCACAATATAGTTGTTAGGGGAATTAACAAGTTCAACCATTTGAAACATCGTATTCTTATATTTATTGTCATATTTTTATTTGGGAATATTCTCATATTTGTACATTTTTTCTATATAGGAAATTCAAAATATATGTTCTTTTCAAGCCAATTCTTCCCTAATTAATAAATACTCTTCTTTTCTAGGACCGATCGCGAATCCAGACAAGCAGGCCCACTTCCTTGAACTTCAAAAAAATGAAGACCTCAATTTAGGAAGTATGCTTAAAATTTTTTAATGAAGACCTCAATTTAGGAAGTATACTTAAAAAAATTTAATACTGAAATAATAAAATATATATTAGTTACCGAAATTTAATGAGAATTCGTTTTTACTATCCCAGCCCCTTTCTTTGCAAGCTTAGTGATAGTGATGGCGGTTCAATACTAAGGTCAAACGAAATTTTCAATTACAAATTTTTTTTTATAGGAACAGTGGATTCTTTCATTGCAATTTATTAAAGGGAAAAATTTAGATATAATTCATTAGGTAATTTTTGTTCTAATAAAAATATGATAAATATATAATTTTTTTTATATATATAAATTTTTCTTCTAATTTTACTGTTTAATGGATATTTAAATGTATTTGTTAAATTTTTATTAAAAAAAATATAAACCACACTTATGAAATTGTATTTAAACATTTTTTGATATGACCTCGTCATTTTTACATAGGTTCACAATAGATTTATAGTATAATTTTTGTGACAATTAGTATTTCTCCAATTTTAATTATAAATCAATTTTTATGTAATTAATTAAAATTTTATAATCAAATTTTAAATCAAATTTTATTTTCTTAGTTATTTATTAACCTTTATAATTTTATTTCAATTTAGTTTAGTATAAATTTTATAGACTATTTTTATGTAATAATTAAAATTTAAAAAGTTTATCATACCATTAACTCATTTATTATTAAACTTTTATGATGAAATCAAATTCTTATTATTTGTGCTTTAATTACTTTTTTTTATATATTTTTTGTTGCACTTATCTACTTTTTGTTATAAATATCATTGAATAAATTCGACTTTTGTGTAAATACGTTTAATTTGTACTTTTGTGTATATAGTGTATCTTTGATGTTTTTCCATTCATTTTATAGATATTTGTTGCATATTTGGAGCATGAGCAATAAAGTGTCGAAGACACGGCTTCAGACGCGCGATTTTGAACAACTCATCAATGAATAAGACTCAAAATTAAATAATAATAAATCATCAATTTGATTGATATTTAGGCATTTTTAGATAGATAATTGAATAAGCTTTCCAACGCTTCAAACTGAGCATAAATCGGAGTTACAATTCTCAAGTTATGGCGAAAACAAAAAGCTGATTTTTTCCTCATGACAGTAGAGTGTGCTTAGCGGGATTATGCCGCTTAGCGCGGTCCTCTGGACATAATTGCATTAAACGGGCCAAAATACACATTTTTAGGTTATGTTTTGGGGGTATTTGTTCCCAACTAATCAAACCTTCGTTTTTTGATAGATTAGCTTAGAAAACAATATTAGGGCATTGTTTAAGGATGATTGGAGGTGGATTTCTCTTCGACCAACGCTGACACACCGGAAGATTTGTGGTTTATCTCTTCTCCCCTCTTTGTATTTCTCTTTTTTGGGGTATTGTTTGTATATTTACTTTGAACATATGTATATTTGTTGATCATGGTGTTGTATAAAACTTACTTTACAAATCAATCTTGATGTCTTCTTTGATCTTTTTGCTTTATGTTTGGATTTGGGTTGTCATAGACATATACCTTACAAATATTGATTAGGGATGGATATCTAGTAGTTTCTAGATTTTAGAGATAGATTTAGAGCTAATATTCACTTTGGGTGCTAAAGCTTAATGCCTCTGTATTGTTGTAGAGCGCAAGACATTACCGATAGAGTAATATGGTTGGTCTCACGACTTGGCGTTAGACATAACCTTCATTGTGGATACATCTTGTGGTGTCTGTGATGATTTTGACGAGTACAGTAGGTTGAGTGTAACTGATCGATATATTTAAGTTTGTGATGAGTAATGTACATTCATACCGGATAAGTTGTCTATCCTTTATAGTTTTTGTTTACATTTATTTTTTGTTGATACATTTTCCATACAACCCATTCAACCACGAAACTCATTAACGATAGATTTATCGAACGTCATTTCAATACACCAATCTCTGTGGACACGATACGATATAACCTAAATATCACCCGATAAATTAATAACTTACTTTTTGCTTTCCGCTATACTGCAGCAACAAACAACTAAAATTATTAAAATGTAAAAAAAAAAAGAGTAACCACACCAAACGAGCAAAACCATAGAGATACCACGAACGGAAACCACAAGACCACGAACAAGGAAACCGTGAGACCACGAACAAACAAACCGCGAACGAATATTGAAACCACGATAGGTCAAACACCAAACAAAATCATAGAAAACAATGAACACATAATAGAATCACCCAAAAAATCGAAACAAAATTGCCAAGTACTATCTACAATTGCTGAGAATGCCGAAACAGAATCGCAAATCACAATGGAATCATAAAACAACAACACTGAAGAAATCACGAGACGACAACCGAGATAAAGAAAGAATTTCGAGACAAATACAAAGGAGAAACACAATTTAGAGAGCGATCAAGTGGGGGTTTCGCTGTTCATCCAAGATAACCAAGATTTATAGGTTTAATCGAACCCTTATTGATACCATATCATAAAAATTGACTTGATATCTTTCTCATTATTATTTCTTGTATATTTAGAGATTACAGAACTATACAAGTAGTTATACTAACTAATTATATCTAATGAAAACAAATTACTTTCTGATTTATTTTTCTTATTCTAAGAAGAAAGCCTTATTTCTATTCACAAATAATCTTTTGTTAAAGTTAATATAAAAGTGAAATGTGTTTTTTCAATAAGAAAATTTGAATACCTCTCTCTCTATGTCTATATATATATATATATATATATATATATATATATATATATATATATATATATATATATATATATATATATATATATATATATATATATATATATATATATATATATATATATATATATATATATATATGTTTTTTTTACTTAAAAAATAATGAATTCAAAGGCACCGAAATAGCCATGTAAAGAAAGGAAAACGTAAAGCATTGCATATAATTATACAACCAAACTAGTTCTGCACTTGCAACAAAATGATAAAAAGAAAACAAGAAATTGTAATATTATTTCAACATAGACCCAACTATTATTGTAATATTCGAGGCGAAAACGGAAGACTGATTATTAGCTAATAAATCATTGCTAGGTTAATTAGAGGTCTTGTAGCATTTTCTCTAGAGAGGAAGTATCGGGTCCACTGGTAAAGTCAAAAACGTCCAAACGAAAATACCAGCAATTAATTTGTGTTCGATGAGATATTTGATGCCCTCTTCAAGCATAGTGTGAACAGGAATGCATTCTCCTGCTATGACTTTAGCTGGATCGTAATCAATTACCAGTTTTTTACATAGCTCTACAACTTGTTCCTTTGAAGAGAATTTCTGATTGTAGAACTGATAATCAATCAAGTCAATAACGAGTTTGTTGTCCTTATACAATTTTAAGTAGTATGGTTCCACCAGTTTTGTTGGAGCAATCGACACAACATTGATAGATAATTTTCTATCGTTTTTTAGCTGTTTTATAACTTCGCCAATACAAAAGGAAAAATCATCTTTACTTGAATTGATGACGTCATAATGAATATCAATACCGTCTATTGTGTTTCTGTAGAGAAGGATGATTTTTGTGATGGTTTCCAGGGCGTTGTGTATCCATTTATATTTTTTTGCAGGATTGAACGGAAATTCAGAGCCAACACCTCCAATGCTGATAAACACCCTCACTTCTGGATGATCTTCTTTCAGCTTTTTCACCCATTCAATACTTTCACCATCAACATTCCAAATGGGCTGGAAACATCCGTCGCCTTTTCCATGTTTATCATAGTGCTCAATGGCAAAGCTCAGAATGAAGTCGATTTGTGTGAACTTGAGGAGGTCGAAATGGATTCCATGTGTTGGTATATCATGTATGTATTGACGATAAATGGTTAGCTCTTCGTTTCCATCTCTGCTGCTACCAGCAGACATTGTCACAATTGGAATTTGAAAGAGCAAATAATTAATTTGCTGCTACTCTGGATGTTTGAAATGATCACCTCTTTGTATACTTTTATAAGCCAACGTACTGCAATTACTCGTATCATTTGGAAATAGGAATAACTCAACATGTTAATAAAATATAAAAAGGTTTCTTTCACTTAATGTTCCTTTTATGTTCACATTATGGTTGTTGCAGGGGAATTAAAAAATTCAATTATTTGAAACATCATCTTATATTTTTTTTCTCATATTTTTTATTAATGAATATTATGAGATATTGGATCGAACTCTAGAATTGAAAGATAGTTTTTTGGTTCGATAATTCGACAGGATCTAAGTATGAAGTCGAAGCTGGTTCGCATGTTGGAGTTGAAGACCTGCAATATTGTAGTTGAAGTATGCAGTAGTCGAAATATTAGGATTATTAGCATGTTAGATTGAGCATGTTTGTTATGCCCAATTGTTTATGTTATTTTGTTCCATAAGTTAGTTTATAATGAGTGTGTGTGTATAAAATTTCATTAGTTTAGTATGATAGTTTTCTTATAAATAACATATTAGTCTTTCATCATTCCATATTGTAAATCTTAATTAGGGTGAGAGAGGCTACTTGTTATTCTGTAACATTTGTAATCTTGTTTCAAATAGAAAGTAAAGAATAATAGTTTATAGTCAATCTTATTGTTTTCTTCTTTTCTATCCTTGCGGGTTTCTTGTCGTCAATGAAACTGTTTATACTTTGTCATTTCGTATCGTTTTTCACAATAAATTGGTGTGGTGAGCATGGAGAAGATGTCGTCAACAAAGTAAGGTAATGAAAAATTTAACGGAGTCAACGATTTTGGTATGTGACGCTTGAAGATGAAAACCCTACTTGTTCAGCAGGGTTGTTTAGAAGCGTTGAAGAGAGCCGCAACCATGGACGTTACGTTAAAGAATAAAGAAAAAAATGGTTATTGTAGAGAAAATCCACAACGCCATCCTATTTAGCCTTGGTGATAAGGTTTTTCGACAGGTTTCGAAGGAGACGGTGAAATCAGGCCTTTGGAAAAAACTCGAAAGTTTGTACATCACCAAATCGTTGGTCAATCTCCTCTACCTGAAGCAAGCAAAGTATTCATTCAAGATGAGTGAAGGGCAAGCTCTGTACTCGTTGGTCAATCGCCTCAGTTCAAAGAAACTCTCTTGTCACTACTACGAAAACCCATTTAACAGCAGTTGGAACATATATATAATTATGCAGGTACATGCGTTATTATGTAGAGTGTTGTTGTAAATTTGTTCATAACAATCACGGTCCTGGGACCGTTGGAGTATACTAGAAAGCGCGCATGATACGACAACGGTTATGCTTATCCACCATTGTGATATATACGGTACTGAATTAGAAACCCAACAACAGTAAATAAATTACATTAAATGACAGTTAAAATAGAAAATCGTTGTGGAAGATACCCATAATTTATTATATACCGATGTATATTACTTGTTTTACCATACAACTCATCAAAGAAATACAACCACTAAATTGGTAAAGAACTATATAATCTGAAAATTAAGTTATTCTTGAAAACCAACTTAACGACACCATTGTAATTCGAATTACACGCGTCTTATTTTGCATATTTTATGTTCTTTAACCCATAATATATGGTTCAATTATCGAGGTCCTACAATACATCAATATCTTTTATTTTTGTTTACCTAATCATCGTTGCTTATCATTGCGATTGTTATGATGACTTATCATCATAGTAATCATGATCTTAACAATCACGATGATAACGACTACGACGAGGTAAAGTAGAATAGTGGATATTAATGTATTGTAGGAAACTGACCATTGAACCATATATTATGGGATAAGAAACATAAAATATGTTGAATGAGACGCGTGCAATTCAAAATACAGAGGTGTCTTTAAGTAGGTTTTCAAATACATCTTAACTTTCAGATTATAAGTTTCTATGTCATTTTAAATGATTGATTTTCATAAAGAGCTTAGTGAAACAAACAATATACATAGTATATAATAAACTAAATTTCATCTTCTGTCAACCTGTATAAGAATTTAAAGAATAAAATATTGATAAGTCACAAAAAGTCTTTTTCTTATGACTTAGCAATATTTTGTTGTTGTTTTGAGAATATTTGTCAACAAAAACATCATACAACAACACAACAAATATGTGTGACACAATAAACAAAAATAAACATTTTAACAATAATGAGGAAGAAGTACAAGGTGTATGAAGCTTCAACAATGACTTCATACTTCTTATATTTTTCTCCATTGCTACATAAATCCTATGTACCTTATCAACTAATACTTTACGCTTGCTACGACCATCATCATCACCATATGCGGTTCATCTAGTTTGTGAAGTCATGAGAAAGAAATATAAGGTGGATGGAGTTAACACAATAGCTTCATACTTCTTATATTTCTTTTCATAGCATATAAAACTAGATGAAGTTTATTATTGTTGTTGTTTCTTCATTCACTATTCTTGAGTCCTACAAACACCATGAAAATTATCAACATGTAAAACCATAAATTTATATATGTCAACAAAACAACATGCAACAACAACATAGAGCAACATACAATAATAAAAGAATCCTAAACTATCTAACAAGAAGAAATTAATAGGCAAACCATGTGAAATATAACAACAACATACACGAAAACGAGAGAATAAAGGAAAAAGAAGAATATCTTTATGTAAGAAAAACAAGATCGACGACTATAATGTAGAATGGAAATGTTAATGATGAAGAAGAAGAGAAAAATGGGTTATAAGATTTTAATGTGAAAGATATGGTGCTACTGTGAAAGAGCGAGAGTTAATTCGCTTATATATAAATATACTCACAACAGTTGACGTTATCAACTGTGGTGATATATATATATATATATATATATATATATATATATATATATATCGCAACTATTAAACTAAACAACAGAATTCGTAACCTTTTATTTTATATATTATAAATAAATATAATAGAAAAGACATGCCTTAACGTTAAATAATTAATATATGCGAGGACATTGAGCTTCGGACTTAAGAAAGCCTAGATTCCATAACTACGGTTATGGCGGCAACCGTTATTAGATGCTAACAACTTTTAATAAAAAATAAAATAAAATATTAGCGCCTGGAGTTAGAGATGTCACCATAGTGTTGAGAATAACCGTGGTAAACTGGGCATTATTGTTTGCGCGTTTTGTAGCAGTGTATATGGAAGAGAGTCGTTGTCCTTTGATGAAGTTCAATCAGCCTTGTACTCTAAAATTTGAGCGAACGAAAGAAGCGTAAGCCATCTTCGATTGGTGGAAGTAAATTTGTCAAAAGCACATAATTACCAAATATATGAAAGGAAAATGAACTGCTCCAAATTCTCCAAAATTTGAGTCAATATGAATTCACCAATCTAATTAACTCATTCAACCTTATTATTTGTCTTTTTTCTCAAACAAATATGCAATTGCTTCATTGATCTTCTTTGCAACATTTGTTTCTACATCTCACAGTTACAAAAACAATTAATTCAGTTTAACTAATAATGATATATTTAAATTTAATCCAATAAGAAAAGGTGAAACTAAAATTAAGCTATATATCTGATTTTTTTTTTGGAATAACTAAGTATTAAAAAAAATCACAAATAACTATGTTTCGAAAAAAATTACGCAAATAACCATGTTTCAGATGACTCTCCAAAGAAGGAGCCATCTCACTTGGCGCCTCCACTAAGCATTTATCCCTAGGCGCCATCCCACTTGGCGCCTCCTCTCTCTTTTAGCCAAGTGAGATGGCGCCTACACTTTAAAAGTGAGAGGAGGCGCCATCTCACTTGGCTCATAGGGCAAAATGCTATTTTTATAAATAATTCGTCTGTTTCTCTATCATTTCTCACACTTTCTCGCACTGTTTTATTATTTTTTACTCTGGGATTTGCGTCATGACATCGCCCATGATTTTTACCAGAGATGGTTACGTTATCTTCTCTGCCACAAAACCTCTGATAAAAATGAAATTCTGGCACATTCACTCCATGGAGCGTCTGAAGCGGGAGTTGATGCGATGGCTAGATGGAGACATCATGGAGGGGGGAAATTAAAAGGATTCAGAGAAGACGAACATCAACCTCACATGCGACAAGAAGACCTAATGTTTGGTTGGAGGAAGTCAAAACAGACAGCGACGTAATGTTGATGATGCATGGGTCAGATGATATTGTTTTAACAGTTGTAATTTCGTAGACGGAATATCGTGTTTTTTTTCTTGTTCGCGCAATGTTTATTGTAACAAATACTGTTAACGAAAAACCCTAATGTTTACAACATAATAAAGGAAATATTTTATGTAACATAATTTTTATGTGGTTGAGGCAGTAGCCCGATTCAGACAATTTTTGTGATTGTGTCTGACCTGATGACATAAACCACACTTTCTTTCCAGCTTGTCAAGGGAGTCCATTTCGGTTGTGATGACCTTACTTTTGGGACGACCCTTTTTATTCCTTCGCATTTGGTCATTATGCCCTACTATTTCGCCTTCGTATGCAGGCCAATAATCTGGTTTTGCTACCAAAGGGAAGTTGTTGTTGTAAACGTTGAGCAACGCTTCAGATTTGTAATTGTGTGACAGAAGTTGTAACGCGTCTTGATGAGTATAGGCACACGCGACAATGACATGAGAGCAAGGCATACGAATGGCTTGAAACTTGCCACAATCGCACCAACGAGAAGGTAGTACAACCCTATATTCTTATCTTGGCAGGAACTCGTTGTGGTCGATTGTCTCTTTCACAATGAAGTTGTGGCTGTGTCGGTCAAACCGTATAACCATATGGGTGTTGGCTTTGGCACTTTCTGCCTTAATGTACTTCATGCAGCTTTCACTCCATAGTTGTCCAGATTGCAACACCGCATTCCACATTTCACCTCTTTTGGCAAACAACGAAGCCATCCTAAA